CCTTCCGTACAGGGCCCCGAGTGCTGACACCACCTTCCCCGCGAATTCAGCACTGGCTGGCCAATGAGGAACCCGTTACTTCGGTACCCTTGCGTCAGGCGATCCAATGCGCGGTCGGACTGGTACATCAGGCGATACGGAATACCCCGTGTTGTATTTTATATATACGTACATAGTGTGATACATGTATATATGTAAAATAATCATACAGGTATTACATATGTGCTAAAATGCATTCAATGAATGCATTATACATTCAATAAATGCTGAATACATTCAATGAATGATAAATGCATTCATTGAATGTGAAATACATTCATTGAATGCAGAATGGAAATACTGCATTTATTGAATGCAGATTCTGCATTCATTGAATGCAAATACTGCATTCATTGAATGTAAAGTACATTCATTAAATGCAAATTACATTCATTGAATGGTAGAATTTCTGTTTTTAGTTGAGAACATGTTACTTGTTCTGTTCACAATTGTGATGATTTTGTAGCTAAAAGGAGTAACAAAATTAATGTAAAGTACAATGCTTTTCAGATATAGTGTACATATTTGTTCACATATATTTTACATAAATACAAACTTGGTAGTATGACAGCCTACAGAAAGTCACAAAAATGCCATCCCCCTGTGCAGGATCAGAATGGGTTGACCCAGAGGACCCCACAGTTGTAGCAGAAAATGAGCTGCTGGGAGCAGCTTCAGCCATCGAAGCCGCCGCCAAGAAACTGTCGGAGCTCAAACCTCGACCTAAGGCCAAGGTAGGTCACAGGTCAGGGGTGGTCTAAGGGTCAAGTTGGGGTTGGGATTTGAGTTGGGGTTAGAATGTTGCAGCTAACATTGATATATGGGGCTATAGTTTAAATTACAGACTTAGTAAGCTTTGAAAGTATATTCTTGCGAAAGTGTGTACATCCTTGGTACATCTTGTCTTTGTGAGGTGTAAGAAGTACTACATGTAAGAAGGTCCTTCATATCTTAACCAAACCCCACCAGTTGTTTCAAGTATTTGCTAAGAAACCACTATAACAAGTCAGTACAATGTATAATATAGTATGCTCATAAAGTTAAGCAATGCATTTGCAATGTGGTCTTTTAACATTGGTGTCATGGAAAGTATTTTTGTGTTACGGAGTGTTGAAAGTTAGTTTTGGTGCTGTTGTACTGCTGTACTGTTGACAGTTTCATGGCTAAGCTAACATGTCTGCCAATGTCTTCCCTACTGCCTACACATACAGAGGTTTGGAAGGGTAAGGTTTAAACTAGTTTATATCTGACAGTGTGGTGCTTATCTTGTATATGTTTGTTTGTTTGTTTGTTCGAGCCTTTGTTCATTCACGGTATACTCAAATTAGCCTCCTCGTTGGTTTTCATTGAGGGCTAGACAAAATCTAGTTACAGAGATTCTAGCTTAGTTAGCAACCACACCATGTCCGTGCCTTGTGGAACGTTGTTGCCTAGCGACCAGTTGCCTAGCGACCAGTTTCCATAGCAACCCGGAAGCCTTGTGGTGTTCTGGGTGATATGTTTGATATTTGGTTGTTACCTTCACTCCAACCAATATATCGAACATATGATCCAAGGCCCCATACACACAGCCAACCCTGCCTGATGCTGCACCAAGACCCTGTACGCACTTCTTGTCATGCACGATGTAGGTTATATAGGTGTACATGATTAGACTGTTGGTATCTGTTGGTAGTACATTTTGTATTAGATATGCAAATTTGTCTTAGATTATATTGTTGAAGTGAAATTTTAGAAACTAGCCAAAAAGAATTCATATTTCTATCAGATGCCAGCATTATCTTACTTTAAGTTAGGTTCAAATAGAGTTAGATTTAAAAATGAAGAATGTTAATTTTTAAGAATATGTGATAAAAGTGTCTGGATTTTGTTAGCATTATTGTTCTTTGATTAGTGGTAGAATCATAATAATCTCAATGATATGTGATAAATGAGTTTTCTTGTTCATATGTATATTTAGAGACTGAATTTTGTATATATTAGCATTTATGGCATATATTAGCATATATTAGCATATATTAGCATATTGATATATATATTAGCATATATTAGCATATTAATATATATATATATTAGCATATATTAGTATAATATATCACCATATATTTTACTTATTTTGGGTACTAAACATTATAAGAATTTTTGATTTGCAATTTTGTTGTCTGTTTCTCCTGTCCATCACCAGGAGGTAGACGAGACCTTGAACTTCGAGGAGCAGATCCTGGAGGCCGCCAAGTCCATCGCCGCGGCGACGAGCGCGCTGGTGAAGGCCGCGTCGACGGCTCAGCGGGAGCTCGTGGCGCAGGGCAAGGTCGGAGCGTCCCGGGCCATGGCGTACGACGACGGACAGTGGTCACAGGGACTCATCTCTGCTGTGAGTCGGGTTATGTTTTTAAATTTTAGATAAATGATTAACTGTTTGACTATCATACATTCAGGTATGAAACAATGACAACAGAAATACATTGTACATATACATGTATACAGACAGTGGTCACAGGGACTCGTCTTAGCTGCAAGTTGGACAATATAATTTTTCATGAAGTATTGCTTGATGAATCATTAAACAAGAAATGAAAAGAATATGCACCTGATACCAAGATATGGGACATTGTATTTAAAGTAAAGTGCTAGAAGATGTACTGATGTTTCTTGTGTTCCAAGCTGAATAACATTGTACTGTTGTAATGAAAAATGAATTTGAAAGATTATTCACTTGATAATTTTGTATAATTTTTACCACTCAAAAGTTAAAAAATAGTGACTGAACATTGAAATATGATTATTAATGATAAATGTTCCTCCCAGGCCCGTATGGTTGCCGCGGCGACCGGCTCCCTGTGCGAGGCAGCCAATGAGATGGTCCAGGGTCTGGCCAGCGAAGAGAAGCTGATCTCCTCGGCTAAACAAGTGGCGGCCTCCACGGCCCAGCTGCTGGTTGCCTGCAAGGTCAAGGCTGACCCCGACTCCGAGGCTATGAGGAGACTACAGGTGAGAATACAGGTGTTTGTACCTGAGACAGGTGATGTTTTTGCCTGGGACAGTCCTATCTATACAGGTCTTCTGCTTTTCTACTGAGTAGTATAGGTGTCTTATCTGTACATAGTGCAAGTGTTCTGCTTCTCTGTACAGGCAACACTTTTTTATTGAGTAGTATAGTTACTGTACTGGTGTTTTACCTGTACAGGTGAGACAGGTGATTTTTTGTCACCTGAAACAGGTGAAACTTTTTTACAGTGTTTGACCTGAGATAGGCGTTTCTCTCACCTAGAACAGGTGTTACATTCACCAGCACAGGTGATACAGACAGTTCACCTGTGCTGGTGTTCTACGTCTACCATATAGTTATGAAGTTCGGATGTGAAAGCTCATGTTTCTAAATGTACATCTGTGTGACATTTCTGCTAACACTACTAACCATAGCAACACAGTAACTATAGCAACACAGTAACCATAGCAACACAGTAACTATAGCAACACAGTAACCATAGCAACACAGTAACCATAGCAACACATCCTCCTGCATGTTCCTCTTGCCTTTTTCTCAACTCACAACTATCATCATCTTCATCTTTGTGTAACCATCTCTCAGGACTCATTGTGTGTGCTTCATTGTGACAATGTCTCACTTCAATGTTTTACATGGTCTCAAATTGAAACATCATTTCCTTATTGAATTGTATCTGGACGGCATTTTCATGACTTGATGTCATTCTGATGATGATGAAAACTTGTGCAAACACTTAAAGACATAGAAAAATGAGATAAAATGTTTGAAATTTGAAAACTATTGTTGTTTGGTTAACTTTGAGAACTTTTTTCACACATGAAACACCATTTATGCTAGCCTGGTTACCAAATAACCTATTATAGCTCCCAACTCCTACATCCTCTCTACAAATACTAGTAGGCTGTAGGACTCGGGAGCTATAATAGGTTTGGTAACCAGGCTACATTTCTGCATGCTATTCTCCTGTAAAAATTTCACTGACTGTTTTTTGTAGATCCAAACTTTGTCCACTAAAACTTCTGTTCTCACCTCTCACCTCTGACCTTGCTCCTGTCTGCCCCCCTCCCCTCTCTACTGCCTGTCCTTATAAGGAATACGTCCAGGTGGGTCAAAGGTTGAAGGTCATCACCTGACCTTCCATTCTTGGTGTTTCCATGGAAACCAACTTTTTTTCCTACTTGTCTACTAAACTTTAACAAAGTATGAGTTTCTGTTGTAACAAACTAAATCAAAGTTGTCCAGAAAACCAAACTTTTAAGCCAACACTAAGAAAGAAGGGCTACAGAAAGTTCTACAAAATTAATGTATTTTCTTAGTGTTGGTTCAAAAGTTTGGTTTTCTAGCACAAATCAAATATTTCTTCTACACTTATGTAATAGTCTTCATCTTTTGTCTACATCTGTGCCAGTGAGTGACTCAAATTATTTTGTCTGTATCATCATGGGTTTTTATCATGCAAACAGGTTTTTGTTCAGTGCTAAGGGGTCCAGTACTTTTTCTTAGAGTCAAATATCAGAATCCTGAAACACTCAACCTGTATAAGTCTCAAACTAAGCATGGCTCGAAGTTCACTTTTAAAATGGGTGTACCCAGCCCAAAAAATTGTGTTCACATGAAATTTTTTGGGTGCACCATTTGGAATAATATACAACAAAGACTCTAATTTTTCTGACATTTAGATGTACTGATTATACTGTATAGTATTAGTAGTATACAAAAGATCTTTTTTTGACAGTTTATTTTCCCTCCCGCCCACAGCAAGCAGGAAACCGCGTGAAGCATGCGTCTGAGGAGCTGGTGAAAGCGGCGCAGCAGGCGGCGGCCATCGAGGAGGAGGAGAGGAACATCGAGCTCAGCAAGAGGAGGGTACCCACCATCGCCATGGAGATACAGGCACAGGTACGCTGTGGGATACATGTGGGACAGCTGTGCTTGTAATGATGTTATTCACGAGTTTTCCATTCTCATGATGCATTGTGCCAGGGGGTAAAATCTCATTTGCATTGACGTTAAACATTTAACATACGCAAAACATACGTTTTTCTGTGTGTTTTGAGGTTTGGGGGCTTTTTATGCTCAACATCAATTAACTTACTATAGGTCAAATCTGACAAATAGAGAATGAAATTTTTTGCATTCTTTTTAACATTGAACATGACATTGTGGTTTGTAACGTTTAACAGTGGCAATGCTATTCTGTCTGTCAATAGAGAGAATAGGCAACCCGACTATATTGCTAGAAATAATTCAACAGATGTTAATATGCAACCTTCATTGTTTTAGTTTCTGTCCTCAACGAATGTAAAAACACCACAGTAACATAATAACACTGGTCACCTCAATTTTGGAATGTCACTTTCCGAATTTTGAGACACCTATGTTGAAACCCCTGATTTTCAACTTTGTTATTCCTGGATGTACAGTGAACTTTTGCATGCCATTGGAAAGATCATGCTATCTTCAGTACCAGGTTGCTTTTTTTTATGGTCAGAATGTACAAATTTATCAAGATATTTGACTTTAAAAATTGCAAGCCTGGCGGTCTAGAACACACACCGTCATGCCCAGCAGCTTAGCCTGGCAGTCCTAAACTTTAGCCCGCGGCCTGAGTTAGCCAGCCCGCATCCAGACCGCATCCAATTAGCCTCATGAACACCCCATGAAAACCACTGAATTAATGAGAATTCACATTTTCACACCTGTGTAATTAACAAGTTTGTGATAAATTCATGAGAGGTCTGGGCTCAATGGTTAGCCCGCGGGCCTGGACAGGCCTGTCGGTCTGTGGACAGGCTGGGCTGATGATTAGGCCTTATGATAGAGAACCTTCAGACTTTAAACACCAAACAGAAAGTGGGAAACAAAAATATGCTTCCAAATTGATGCTTCCAGATTGATGATGGTTTACACTTCACTTCATATCACTTCATATTAATAAACACCCTTCACATTTTCAGCTAATATTTTCAATAAGTGATTACATATTATTGACAAGTATGATGTACAGGTATGAATGATGATAACTTTCATGAATATTCATTTTGAACATTTTCTGCAAAAGCTTCAGAAATTTCTACTGGAAGAATTTTTCCTGTACATGGGAAGAATTGTTCTGCTATTAAGACTGCAAAAAGTCTCTTTCTAGTAGAAAGCTTTTTGAACATGTTTGAGGAGGTGGATTTTGCTCCTGCTGTGCTACCTGGGCTGATACCTGGGCGGGGTGTAACATTTGTGTAACGGTTATGACTAAAAAAGATCAGATAGCATCATAAAAGACCCTTGTCTCAGCAAGAACACTTCATATTAGACCTGATTGGTTGTGGTGTTGGAAGCCAACTTTTGAGGACACTTCATGGTCACTTACAGTTTCTGTTTGGCAGGTATAGTCCAATTTGTCCTACTATGGATGGGCAACTCCCCTGGCCAAATCCCTTTGAAACATCATGGGGGTAGAAATTTATCTTTTTTTTTAAAGAATGAAGACTTGGCTAAGTACAGGTCACAACAAAACAAGATGAATGGATATGGTTAACAGATAAACAATAACTCCATGGAAACATTTAAATCAAAAGGAAAACATTTGGAGTTTTAGTGCCATAATCCTGCCATGTATAAGCCTCAGCCGATGTACACTGAAAACATAAAAAGCAAGGAATCGATCCTCAATTTGCAACATGAACTTGCTTTCAGTGCAAGGAGTTGTACAATGCTTTAGGAAATTCATGTTACATTTTCTTTTGTAATTATTCTGTTCCTGCACCTTTGTCATGCGGGTCATACCTCAGGTCACCTATTGTTCCAGGCATGCAAATGACCACTGTCCAATTATCAAATTAGAGAGTCTGGTCGGGCTACCCTGACATGGGTGCACTGGCACTGGCTCAATAGCCCGAAAAAATATCCTATCAGAAAATCTCATGACATTGTAATGACAGTGTCAGATGGCCTGGGTTCACACGCTGAGAGCCATGTCTTGGCCAAATCTTTCTATCCCACAACTAGTTTGTAGTGTCATGATTAGATTAGATTTAGATTATGAACAAAAAATTAATGATGAGAATCTTTACAGGATTTGTAATAAGTCTAAATTACAATTTAATTGGAAGTGCTTGCCCAAGGCCTAGAGTCAATTCTATATTGCTATATTCCACATTACAAATTGTAACCATTTCGAAAAAAACACAATGTTTACTAGATAATTTCAAAGTATAGATTTAAAAAAAGTAGAAAATTTTCTAATTGTTACATATTGTGAACATCTCAATAGATTATATATATAATGAAA